AGTGAGAGATAAAAGTCAAAATTATTTTTGTATATATGTATTGAAACATTGGATACCCTTGTTATAGTAATTCTTATTTGTTCATGGTGGCAATCAATGTTTTAAAATTTAAACAAATATTAAACTTATAAAATATATCATTTTATAGTTTAGTAGTTCAACTAGGGTAAATTAGAATCGAACAAATCATAATTAAATATATATTTTAATATTATATATTATGGTAAATTATAAATTAATATAAAATTATAAAAAGTCTAAGCTAAATAAAATTTTAAAGTAATGCAAGAGTTTGAATTGCATTAAATATTTTAAAATAAAAATAAAAATTAAATTAAATAATAATTATTTATATAAATTTTAAATATGATTATTTCAAAATTATTTTTAAATTAAGAAATTTAAAAAAATTGAAAAGTATATTTTTAATAAATTGAACTGATGGGATCATTAACATTATTCATACTCAATTTTAGTAAAATCATCACCGATTAACACTATATTGATTTTGGAGGTATCTAATTAATGACCAGAATAATTTATGTTACTACTGTCTAAATAATTTATTTGAATAAAAAAAATTAAAAAAACAAATAATAATATTTTTATTGAATAAATAAATAGTTTAAAAATTATTCACAACATGTATGGATTGCTTTGGGACCCACCAATAAAGAAATTACCCCGCTAAACCTTGTTCCGCTTCCTAGGGGCTAATATATGTTTGTTTTTTTTTTTTTGTTTTTTTTTCTAATTTCCAAAACATGTCACCTATAACTTTATTCTGTTTTCTTTTTCTCATTTAATAATAGTTTAAATATAATGGTACAATTTATTCTTCATTTATTTATTAATCTTAATAATACTCTTTTATTATTATTTAGGATACAGTAATAGATTATTCTTAAATTATATTTCCATAAACATTTGATTATAGTTTTCATAATAAAACCTATGAAATTTGTTTTATCATTGTAGTAAATACTTTTCATAATCTTATATAAACAACTGTTGAAATGTATTATTTAAAAATAGTAAAAACTACCCATTACAAAGACAGAACTTGGTCAAAACGTGTCATTTTGGTTCTTTTATAGTTTCGTGATTTGCTAGGTACAATGAAATGTGCAACTTTATATAACAAAAGAAGTGATTTAAATTGGTGATAGTGGAGAGATAGTGGCGAACAATGTGGTGCATTAGTTCTTTAGTTTGTGGTGCGTGCATTTTGGTGCGTACACACAAAACTATATATGCAAGGGGTAATTGGTTATATATATAAGGTCATTATCCTTAGAATTCTATCTTATCTTTAAGTTGTTGTATGTACAGTGAGAATCCCATATTCTTATATTAAATTTTTGTGTTAAGTTGTAATAATAAAACCCCTACTTGTTGCAGCTTTATGTGCTTAGGAGGAATTTGGATAAGCTTATAAAATTGAGATTAAATATAGTGACAGTGTAAAATCAAGAGATCTAACATATATTTTCAGTAGTTTTGCTTCTATATAAGCTGTCTACATAAAAATATTGTCAATCTCTATAATTTAGATTAGTTCTCTTATGGTACTTTTGACCATGCATTTATGTATTTATTAATAATAACACTTTACTTTTGTTAAAAATAGATGTTAAGCTTTAATTTCATTTTCGTCGATTTTTAAATTTATTTCTATTTTAAATAATTTTATCTGTTATTAGTAGGGATTAAATTATTATTATTAGAGAGAACTGAAAATTATTTGTTTATGTTAAATCTCAGTTGTATATTAATTATAGATTACCTTTTTAAATACTAAAACATAATAGAATTTAAAACTAATAAAATTGAATAGAAGAGTTTTTTATTTCGAAATATTTATTTTGTTTTAATATTTAGAAAAAATAGTTATAACCAAAAAATAAAAAAGTAATGAATGAAAAGATTTAAAGAAAAATAATAGTTAACATTTATCTTCTTTGTTAGTAATATAACTCCAGCTTAATAGAAGAATGGGAAAGACCAATCAGCATAGATCTAAAGTTTAATATGCCTATTTACATAAAATATGAAGTTTAAGAATCAAATTAAATGAGTTCAATATATCTATTTATAAAATATATAAAACCAAGAATCAATTGAATAAAATAAAAGTTCAGGTATTTGTTTACAAAAGGAATAAAATTTAGACATGCTGAATACTCTTTTTGCTATAAGTAAAAAAATAATAATAATACTCAAAATTAACTAGCAAGCTTATGAACTTGATAATGAACAATTCGATGTACACATTACACTTACATGGCGACAAATATAGGAAAGCAAGAACAAATATAAACTAGGTTCATAAATGCTAGTAGAATTTTGTAGTCCCATATCTGGATTTGGGTCGAGCGATTCAAATTCGATAAGTTTATTTGAAATATTTTTTTAATCTCTTTAATTAATAAATAATCAACTCATCAAAATTAATAAAAAATAATTATATATAAATTTATTTAGTATTTTAAAAATATTATTAAATGGTCATGTTAACACAAATCTTTTAATAAATAAGGATGCAAGAAAACTAACAATGTATTTAAAAATCAGTCTTTATTTCTTATTATTTAAAAAATTATTTATATCTTTCTATGTTCATTCTTTTTCGAGTTTGAGAACAATGGAACCCGCTTTATTGAGTTGCTAAAGAACCTTAAAATGTTAGCTATTGTTACTATCGATACTACACTGCATATATCTAGGTGCTTTTACTTGCATGTTCAGTGTATTTAATGTTAGTTATAAACAATTCATCAAGTTCATTCTGTTTCTTTTGTTGATGCTCATCTTTAAAGTGGAAAATACTAAAGTTAGATGAAAATTGATTGTTTTTTCAAAACCTGCTCTTTCTTATTTTCGTGTCGGTAATTTCTTGGTCGGTGACATGTTCTTAGTTTACATTAAGCATATTGTAGTGTCTTTGAGCTTATCAAGATGAATAGTTCCATTCAAATATATAATTATTGGAAGAGATAAAGATAAGTTGTCATTTTGAAAACGCCATACGCTTTTTATGCAACACATTAAAATTTACATTATGTCATTTTCGTTGAAAGTGTGACGGCATTCCCTTTCTTTTCTTCCTTTTCTTTGATGCATAATTGATGAGTCATCACTATAATTTAAAAATACAACATCATATGTAGATTTTTGTCATCCCAAATTTCACTCACGAAAGTGCATATCTTTCTTTTTTTCTTATTTAAATTTCAACATATTATATCGTCAATAATTCAGGTTTTTTAAATAAAACAAAATTACCTAAATAGGTTGCAATAATAATCTGTTCATACTGGGAGATGGGGACTTTTCAATGATTACAGAATGGATTTCCTTTTATGAATGTGCAGTCAGTGGGTAGAAACTTGGCTTTCATGATTTATTCCCATCCTACTCAGCTTGTTTTGAAATAAGCATTTTTAAGATGATTGTAAAAGTAAATTAGGTACATTTAATGTAAAATTTTCAATTCAAAACAAAAACTACATTTTTTTACTTCAGGACTAACGTGCTTTTACTTCTGTCTTTTTCATCGCCCTTTTATTTGTTTAGATTTTCCCTTCTCCATTTTGAGATGGTGGGCAAATAAAATATTGTCATGTTCTGCGTGGAATTACGCACTCGAGCTGAGTAAAAAGTCTTGCAATTCGTTAATTATTTATTTGCATAACTCTTCTTGTGAATTAAAAATTAATTAAATCATTAGTTTGTGCCATTTCAATCTATGTTTCTATTCCATTTGAATCGTTGGTTGCTGATATATGCTACATTATCCAGTTACTACAAGCTTTGTCAGAGTGTGGGTATGACATTTTGTTTCTTATTTTAGCGTTATTTCTTACATGCTTGATGCTTTTCAAATTTCAATTTATAAAATAATAATGAATAAATATTTGACTATACATCAAGTATACCAATAAAATTTTAGTTACTAATCAGAAATGTTACCTTCAATATATTATCTATAATCTTTTCTTCAACGATAAAAAGAAAATATGGGATTTTTTTGGTCATCCGACGAGTTACTAAGTAACGTTTCAGAAATTATCATTTGGCACTTTTAGTACAGTGAATACACTCCACTTGACCGAAAGATAATAAGAGAAAAATATAAAAAGTAATAAATGTGATAAAAGATGAAAAGAAAGACATATAAAAATGTAAGATGAGTGCAAAAGTTAGTAGGAAAAAATAAAGATTCATAGCATTTAGCTAGCCTTCTATTGTTTGTCCTGTAAATGTCGCTCTCCTAGATTTGCATGGATCCATATAGTACCCCACATGATGGGAGATCTCCATACTGTATTCTAACTTGCTTTCAGATGCAACTGGGGAAGTTAAAGAACCTTTATTGCAGGATTTCACGAATCATGATATAAAATATAATACACATTCTTGTTTTGTTTAGAATTCAGTAACATAGGTTTTTTGTTATGTTGCTATCAGGGTGGGTATGGAGATGGGGAAGGTTCTTGCATTACTATTTGTCACATTCTTCTATGTTCTGCCTACCCATCTTTCAATTTTGCATCTGATGATAATTTAGTTCAAAATAGGCAGGGTTACTTTAACACAAAATGGCATTAAAACATAATAATATATGTGAGGAAGGTTCTGACTATATTAAACATCACAACGACCATAATTATGCTACTCTTGTCTGTTACTTTTTCACTACTCAATCAATGATAACGCATAGATTGACATTTGGCTTTTCGATATCTGCAATGACAATTTAAATAGATGATCATTCCTTTTGTTGTGATCATGCAATGCTACAAAGTTAGCACATTATATATTGCATGGTGACTAATGTTCATACATGCTTGTTTTTTATTTTGATTGAACAGATCACTGAACTAACACCTCAAACTCAAAACTTGGCAGATTATTGAGATTTGGCTAGCCCATTCTAAAGGGACACTCCCTTGCACAATCCTCTTCTTGATTGAGCTGTTATCTAAGATTAGGATACCATGGACGAGAATGGTAACTCAAATAATGCAACCAAGAACAAGAGGAAACTGCCTCTCTCAGTTTTCTTCAAAGATGCAAGGTAACCCCTTATTATCAACCCTGTTTCTTGAGGAGCAGCATCGTGCTGACTGGAAACATGTATGTGGTTACAAAGATAATACTAATACTTGGTTATATAAATGTTAATGTAGACATGTTTTCAAGATGGATTCCCTTGCTAAGGAGATACTTGGGATTGCATTCCCATCTGCACTGGCTGTTGCTGCTGATCCCATTGCTTCTCTTATAGACACTGCATTCATCGGCCACTTGGGTACATTTCCTTGTCATCGTTATATCATGCTTGCACTAACTAAGTGTTTGGTACATAGAATCTTTTTTTATTCCTTGAATTATGCTTTTTAAGCATCATGATTTCTGAGAATGTTATAAATTTGTTTCTTATAACTTTTCAAGCTAACTTTGCATTATTCATGTGATTAGGGCCGGTGGAACTTGCTGCTGCAGGAGTTTCCATTGCTTTGTTCAACCAAGCTTCAAGGATTACCATCTTCCCTCTGGTTAGCATCACAACTTCATTCGTGGCAGAGGAAAATACTATTGAAAAAATCAGTACCACAGCAGCAGAAAAGCAGTTCACTGAGAACATTAAGGCCAAGTCTAATGAAGTCATTCCCGATGATCATTTGCTTCAAGACATAGAAAAGGGTGCATGCAAAGAGAACAATGAGGATTCAACAGAATCTTCTGCTGCAAGAGGTGATACACCAAACGAGCTTGTACCAAAAAGTTCTGTACCTGAGAATGTGGAAGTGGATGGTACTTTGAAAACTGAGGCAAATAATGGAGACGGTACTTTCTCTCTAACCCTTTGAAGCTTTTGCTTTCCATTGATGTGTATAAGTGTCCATGTTATTATGAGTTTGCTTCAAATTCATAACTATTTAAATCAACCATAGATATCATGTCAAAGGTAGATGAGTGGAGGGAAATGAATGCATTTGATGTTTGGTTGTGTTCAGAGATTTTAATTCAATAATTTCACTGGTTTCCTTATCAGATTGCAACACAAATATAGGCAAGTCAGGCTCAATTACTAATAGTAGCAATAAGAGTATATCAAAAGCTGGAAGTAAAAGAAGACACATTGCTTCAGCATCAACAGCACTACTTTTTGGCTCAGTGCTTGGCCTCCTTCAAGCTGCAACACTTATATTTGCAGCCAAACCTCTATTAGGTGCAATGGGTCTGAAACCTGTAGGTATCTCAATTATAAAGGGTATATGTTTCACATATTACTTCATGATCTAGAGTACATTTTTCTATGTTTTACTAAAGTGGAGCTATTTCTCTTTTGTGTAGGATTCTCCTATGCTAGTCCCAGCAGTAAAATACTTGAGATTGAGATCCTTAGGTGCTCCTGCTGTGCTTCTCTCATTGGCCATGCAAGGAATCTTTAGAGGGTTCAAGGACACAACAACTCCTTTATATGTCATTGGTAGGTTGAAATGATCTATTGTCTTGAATGAAGCCTAAATTGAAACAAATCATGGAAAGACATGAACTAAAACTTGCCAGTCAAATTTGAATGAACTGTGCATAAAAATGTGCATAAAGGAACTCAATAAAAAAAGTTAATGGAAGATATTTTGTTTTCAAATTTGTCAACACAATTCCTTAACTTGGTTCATTTGTCTATGTGGTTTTATTTAGTTTCGGGGTATGCATTGAATGTTGCTTTGGATCCAATACTTATCTTCTACTGCAAATTGGGCATCAAAGGTGCAGCCATTTCACATGTGCTATCTCAGTAAGTCTTACTTTGTTTGATCCTAGTAATATTCACTCATTTTGTTTGCAAAATGTGAACTTACAAAATGTTGATCCTTTTAGGTACATGATGGCATTAGCCCTCTTGTTGATTTTAATGAGAAAAGTTGAGCTCCTACCTCCAAGTATTAAGGATTTGCAGATTTTCAGGTTTCTTAAAAATGGTATGGTAGAGGCTCTAAAATTTTGGATATTGGTTTTGCAGTGTATACAACTAATGAATCTCATTTTCCTCTATTAAATACCAGTATAGTAATCAAACATATTTTGCTCACTTATCAAGCTGAACTTACTCATTAAAATTTGTTTTCAATTTCAATAGGAGGTTTGTTGTTGGCCAGAGTAGTAGCAGTAACATTCTGTCAAACTTTAGCAGCTTCACTGGCAGCAAGGTTTGGCCCAATTCCAATGGCTGCATTCCAAACTTGCCTGCAGGTGTGGCTGACATCTTCCCTTCTTGCTGATGGTTTGGCTGTTGCTGTACAGGTGCAGAAACATTTTTTTCTTGTTACATATAAGCATTTATTTTTAAGTAATTTTCATAACACACTCTTGTTATATTTTATTTTTTTATTTTAATTATGATGTCACTTTCTTTTTATTTTACATACTTCTTACTTTTAAAAACTTGTATAAGAAACAATGAAAATAACTTCTCATTATGTCCACCGTTTTCAATACAAATATTTAAAAATAAAAAGTAAAAGAAAAATAGAAAGCATTTTATAATTAAAAGTAAAAATAAAAAATAAAAATCCGAGGGTATTGCTAATTAGTTTCCCTGGCTCACAGGCAATTCTAGCTTGTTCCTTTGCTGAGAAAGATTATGGAAAGGTGATTGTGGTTGCAACACGAACACTGCAAATGAGTTTTATTTTAGGAGTGGGACTTTCTCTTGCAGTTGGAGTTGGATTGTACTTTGGAGCTGGAATCTTTTCCAAAAGTGCTCTTGTTGTGCACTTAATTAGGATAGGCCTACCGGTATATATTATTATTATTACACTCCTAATTGCTCAATTTGCAAATTTTTTACTACTTTCTATGTGTGATGATTTTCATTTATTGCACTTTACCAACCAGTTTGTTGCTGCCACACAACCAATAAACTCATTAGCGTTTGTCTTTGATGGTGTCAACTATGGGGCATCTGATTTTGCATATGCTGCATACTCCTTGGCAAGTTCACATTCCTCAATTTTTTGTTATTTTTTCATAATGGGTCATCTCTATTCAAAATTTATTTACCAATTTGCCATGCTTTAAATTTCTTCAGGTCACAGTGTCGTTGGTAAGCGTTGCTTCATTGTTCCTTCTCTCTAAGAGCAAAGGTTTCGTTGGGATCTGGATTGCACTAACCATCTATATGAGTCTTCGCATGTTTGCTGGCATATGGAGGTAAACTTGTACATATTCATAAGTAGCAGAATATAGAGTATCTTAAATAATAGCTATGAGATTATGATAAGGAGAAGAAGATCTGAATATGCATATGCTTGCAGGATGGGAACAGGAACAGGACCTTGGCGTTTTCTCAGACGTCGCTCATTCTCTTGATGATGACATCTAACAAAAGAAACTTCGTTGTTGGGAGCAAATGTTTTGTATCAGTTTTCACCATTTAGGATCAGTGATTGTCATAATCTTACTATATTTTGTACTGCTCCATTTACACGTGCTAGTGCTATATTCAAAGTATCGTTATTTCTTCTTCTTTTTTCCTTTTTATCCTGTTTAATGTATCCTCTGCTCATTGTCATTTTGTTGTGCTTAGGGGATTCTTCTTCGTACTGTTACCATGTAAACTGGGGAGTGCATATTTATATATATAAGAAAAATAAATTACTTTTCAATCATTTTAGTTCAATTCCTTGCTTTTTCTCTTATGATTGCAAATTCAATCATCTTCGGCTTGTCTTTTACCTTTCTCGTGATGTGTTGGTTCAAAAGCCTAAAATAATTAGAGAACAATATTTAGATTATTAACTCTTAAGATGAGCGTCTTATTATATATATATAGGCTTAGGGGTACAATAAAAACGCAAAAACTACAATTCAAGTGGAAACGTAACATGGATTTTACAGCTAATAGTTGGGAGGATAATTTGCATTTAATGGGTGGTATAAAATTTCAAACTTTTACTCAAATACTTGCTTTATTGTTTCTGCATTATTCATTATGGATAGAAAAGTATAATATCTTTAATTTATATTTCAAACTGTGACATAAATTATAGCAAAGAGAAGTAAATAAAAGAAATATTTTTATTTTTACAGCTTAAAAAATTGAAGAAAAAATTCAAACTTTTATTTTGTTATTTAATTATAAAAATTTAAAGGTATTCAAAATTTTTAAAGGAAGCATTTATAGAATTTAAATTTGTAAATAAAGTAAAAATTAAATTTGTTTTTTTAGAAATTTACTTAACCTATGATACATACATATAAATAAATTTAAAGTACAAACAACATTGTTTTCTAGCAAAGTAAACTTCTATAAAAATAATATAATCTATATAGTTAAAATAGCTAACTATCAATGTTATAAATACACTTCAAATTAATATTTACAACCAGATTTATTAAAGTATTATAAATTCAGAAATAAACATTTAGAACCTTGTCAATTTAAAATAGAAGTTTAATAAATATTACAATTCTTTAGAATATTCTAAACCCTGTAAAACAGTCATTCCTTACAATCTCACTGATAATATGACTCTAGATCGGGTCAATCTTCTTTAATTTTCTTCAAAATTCATTTCCTTAAAATAGTTAGTAAGGGTGAATATTATCTGTCCTACTAAATTCTTTATTTGACAAAATAATTATATAATACTGAAAATACTATTAAAAATACTATGATAATCATGCTAATGATTATCATAGTATAGCATATACACTAAATCAATTACATTTATAATATTCATAACATATTTTTACAGTGGTTTGTATGTCATAATACATGTATTATATCACATTAATTAGTATGTTATAATACATGTGTCCTAATCGTACTCGTTGATATATTACAACACATATATTGTAACATCCCTTATTTATTTAAATAATTTTTCTCTAAAGAAAAAGAGAAATATCAATATGATGTGATTAAAATAAGTAAAAGATAAATAAATATAGAAAGAATTTTCATATGAGTAAAATTTTAATCACTGACAATGAGCAAAACTTTAAAACTTCATACATATAAATCTCGTTTGTAATAGAATTGATGATATAATTTTAAAATTATCAATTTATAATTACAGAAAAGCTAAAATTTCTATATTGACAATTAAATTACCAAATATTAGACATGTGCTTTGAATTGTCATTTACAATAGATTTATTAAAATAATTCAAGCTCTAATTAGAAACTTAATCAATGTAATTTCATTCTTCAAAATAACTGGTCCTAATAGAGCAGTCTCTTTCTTACTATCCCTTACGAGTATGATCCTAGAACAGATCAATCTTCTTTACCTGAAAATATTTGTAAGGGTGAGTATCTCTTGTCCCACAAAATTCTTATTTCATAAAATTAAAAAAAAAAGTAGAAATATTTCTAATGCAACGTATAACAAATAGACATATTTCACTCTTAACAAGTTTAACCAAATAATATTATCATATATATCACTCATCATTTAATCATACACATTCTATTTCTTATTTATTAAAACAAAAGTTACCCATGTATCTTATTTTACACTTAATCAGACATCATTATCTAATCAAATTCAATATCTGATCAAATTCAATATCTGAACCTATACCATTGACTTATTGTACAATTTTCAACCAAATGAAAGTTATCCACACATATTACTTCATATTATACCAACATTCATTCATCACTCAATCAATTAATGTCCATTTCTCCTTTATCAACACGATAATCCATTTTCTCAACTCATGCCATCATTCCAATTCTAAAATATTCATCAAATAAGAGTACTTCTAGGTACTCACGAGCACCCAAATCACTACCAATGTATTCTTCTTAGTTCGAAGAAGTTACGCAGCATGGATAGTCATTGGTCAGTTAAACCACATACGAATACAACATGCGCGCTTATAGCCTTTTATATCACTCTCATATAACAGTAAACTTCTCAATTACGCATATAATCACAAGGCAAGCACATATCATCACAAGTTCAATATAATCATCATGTTCTATCATTTCAGCACTTATTCACAAGACACTAACATATTTATCACATGATTCCATGCAATATGCTGAGGGTCGGACACCCTCGAACTCAGCTCAAATCGTGCAATCCAAAATATACTGGCGAAGATCACATTCTCTTGGTCTTAATAGAATCTTCTAGTCTAAAGTTCATCATATTTCACCTTTTTATCATTCAACACATATATTATAAAAAAAATAGTAACTTATTCATAAAACTAATTAACTCATTCTTACTCGTGACTATTTATGATAAACTTCATCTTAAGTTATTTTAAACAGATCAAAAACCTTTTTATACCAAAAATCCATTCAAGCTTATGTAGTTTCAAGAAAACTTTATGGATTTACTTTTTACAATAAGATAGCCCCCTTCTCTCAAGATTAATAAACATATTTAGGTAAAACCTAAAGTTTAGGAGTACTCTCCTTACCTGGAAATGTATCTCAAGAACAAATTTCTTCGTGGGCTCTTAAGAGAAACTCCACGTCTTGACCAAAAATACTACCGAAGGACTAGAGTTCTTCCTAACATCACAAGGTAGATTATTATTATGAAAAAAGAGAACAAAGAAATAGGAACGAAATTCAAGGGATAAACTCTGGAAACTTACTTAGATTCGAGTGGAATAGACGTTTGAGCTCAGATCCGAGAAAGATCTAGAGTTGTTGGAGGTTTTCTCTGGAAAGGGAGCAAGAGAGAATGAAGAAAATGGAGAGAGAAAGATGATTTCGTTAAAAATGATGCTTTTAGGATGAAAGTTCTTTAAATATCTCTCAAAGCTACAGCGAAAAACTTAGAAAGTTTTCTTCCTTTGTTGTCTGTCATTCTAGCTACAGTGAGAATACTGTTGGATCGTCTTTATCCACTTCACGCTACAACAAGACTCTCTCGCTATAGCGATAAGGCTTCAGAGAGCCTGATTTTGGATGACCTGTCTCGCTACAGCAAGATATCCTGTAATTCACATCAATTGAACACTCTTAATTTTAAATAATATGCACAATAACTAACATAAATTGCAATAATAATAAATAACAAAATGAGGGTGTTACATATATCATAACAACAAAAATTGATATGCTACAACACATATATTATAATCACACAATTACTATACTTTATCATATCCATCACATTATCACTATCATTGTCCCTGAGATCCCTTGAGGTCTTTATAGTATAAATAGTTGCTAGATAGCCGCTACACACAAATACAATGTGTGCCCACTTGGCCCTTTTAACAAAAGTGTGGTCAGGGATTTAGGTAAAAAAATAAGTGCGAAGCTTGTGGTGTCTTTTCTCTCTATTTTCATTAATTATGCGCATTCAAAGAAAAGCATCCACCACCCTTATTTCTCCTATATTTCTAAAATCACCCATCGTCTTTCACACTCCTAGTGTATCTCTATAACTATCAATACATATTCTTTGCATTTCTCATATCATTTTCTTAGCATTTCTCAAATATTCTCATCCATTTCCATGTACTTTTCACAAATTAGCATGTCATAATACGTTATTTATGATCATATAAATCAATGCATTACGATATTATAAGTACACCATTCAATGTATCACAATATTTGTATTATAATCACGTCCATCAATCTATTATGACTTACATATTATAATCATACACCTTACAATTCCACAATCATGACATATTATCTAGTTTTATACATAATATTCTTTCTTCATTCAAGAATAGTTAAACACTTTTCATCAATAGTATAAATTCACCAATTTCAATATACATTAGCTATCAGACAAATATTCATATTTATTGTATCATATTAATCTAACACAGATAAATTATTAATTATTTTCACATCATACAAGTCAATGAAATGTGTCAAAGGTCAGACACCTCCAGATTTAGACTAATCATACAATTTAATATACGCAATTTCTTGGTATTAATAAAATCACATATCCTAAAGTTCAATATCTTCTAATACATATATCATGCATAATAATATTTCAATATTAATTGTACATACATAATAATAGCAAAATTGTAAAACTCCTCAAAAACTTAGTTACTTATAACTTTTACTAAAAAATTTTGTCTAGATCATTTTTGAAATAATTTATTGGTCTTTCATGCCCAAAATTCCATTCTTAGTACTAAAATCTAAAGAAACATTAGGGCTTTATTAGCCACAACAAGAATATCAGAGTTAGGGTTCAAGCACAAGAAGAATATTAGAGTTAGGGTTCAAAACAGAGTTTTCTCACCAAAAATTCGTTTTCTACATCATGATTTCAAGGAAAGGCCTTATAGTTTCACTATTTAGAATAAGGTAGTACAGGCTTTTCTAAATCAAAATACATAGATGAGACTTAGGGTTGGGATTA